TGTGGAACTATAATTCTCATCACAGTATTACTGCTCCAATAGAGGCAAAGAAGTATAAATGTCATCTGAAGAGGAGTTTAAATGTTGGCAGAGTAAAAATAATTAGCATGCATAACCCAGATCAGTGATAGTGAAGCTGTAAATTACTAGGCCTATATGAATCTGTGTGGATTTTGTTTGCTCCTGGTTCTCCCTGCTCCCTCCACATCTAGAAAAGTTGTCCTAACACAGCATTTCTAAGGGAATCTTTTTTTGCTTGGAAATCTTGGTCAATATTTCCCAACCCAAATGTCTAAAGATAGGCTCAGTGTTCCATATGCAGGTGGTGAGTGAGCACCTTCCGCTACCAATGACTTAAGTGGCATTTGTTGATGCTCCGCACCTCTGAAAACCAGGTAAATTTTCCTTTCCAAGGAGATAGGTGTCTCAAATTAGTCTCCTGCCTTTGGTTTTTGACTTTGCATAAAAAGCATTTCAGCATATTATGAGATCAATGCAACTTATACAAAAATTCTTTGAAAGCTTGTTAGATTTAAATTGTCTCTGATGTTTGGAGACTAAGTAGAAAGGTTTACCGGGTAGTACATGAATGCTGTTTCAGTTTTGCAAAAACTCCACTGATTCTTTGCTCAGTTCACCAAACAAAAGATTTTTTTCCCCTCTTACATTAGATGTTTGCTGTTTGTTTTCTTTTTAAGAATGGACAGGGTGCCTAAAATTGTTTAACCTGAGCTTTTGTAGACAAAATACTTGTTTTACTTGTAAATATTGGACTCTTACAGCAGGCTGTTCAAACATATGTGATTGCCCACTTCTTTATTCTGCAGCCTGTGGGGTTTCCCCAGTCCTAGTATAGATTTCCCCCAGGAGCCATTGTCAGTATATGACATCTTTCTTCAGTTAACAGAGCAAGGTATATGTAGGTTTTCTCAGTAATTTTGCTGATGTATGGACTGTTTGGGAGATGAGAAGGATACCAAAAATAGAATTCCTACTATATCTTGTCTCAGACACAGCATCCCCAAAATCATGCCAGCAGCTAGATTATTTTCAAGTTCTACATCTGGTTGCCTGATCTGTAGAAAGGTGAAAAAAAAAAAAGCCTAACTTAATTATCTCAAACTGGATTCTGGAGCCGGCTCTGCTCTTGCTGGTGCTGGTACAAAATTCATATTGACATCAATGAGCATTGGCTCTGATCCAAAAACCAGAGTAAATTGTTTTAGAGAATTTATATAGTGACTCTGAGATTGGATCTGCTTCTGTCTATATCATGTCTCAGAGAGGTAGCCAAGTTAGTCTGTAACTTTAAAAACAAGTAGTCCTGTGGACTTTAGAGACTAACAAATATATATATATATAGTATCATGAGCTTTTGTGGGCCAACCACACTTCTTCAAATGAGCTGGTAGCTGGGCTGGAAATAATAGAAACCCAGAATTTTATAAAGAGGAAAAGGAAGGAAACAAAACAAAACAAAAACTTCCCTCATTCAAACATGATGCAATAGTTAGCAGGTACCCAAACTTACTGTTTTGGTTCTGTTGTATGTTTATTCTTTTGAACATGATGATTTGGGTAAACCTACCATTGTATCTAAGGAAGTAGTTACTGAAAGTCAGGTTCCTCTTTTCTTCATATATTTAATGCTGCTGTTTAGATATGCCTGAAATTTCCCCTTTTGCAGTAAAAGCAATGCAGGGAAATGTCACTTAAGTGAGTAATATGTGCTTGTATTTTCTTTCCTTTTTAGACTGATGATGCCACTTTTCTGTAGAGAAATGGTGGAATTGTTGGACAAGAGTGACAGTTTAGTCAACCACACAAGTTTATCAAACTATGCATTTCTCTATGGAGTCTTTCCAGCAGCACCTGGTGTGGCTATCTTTGCAAACCAGTTCAATATGGAAGTAGAGATTGTATGTGCTTAACGTTTAGCAAACTCAGCGCTAATTTTTATTTTTATTTTACTAACATAATACTTTTAATACAAACTCGTGTCAAGCCAACTTTCTCAAAAAATAGACATGTCTGTGTCTTACGCTCCCTAGAGATCGAAATATGAATTATATAAGAGATTTTTAAAATCTAAGGTCCTATTTCTAGAAACTAGATCAGCGACCATTATAATGTAGTCACAAGGGCTGGCTTAGACTTGCTGAGGCCCGAGGCCCAAGCCCCAGCACCTGGGCCAAAGCTTAAGAGCTTTTGCCATGGATGGTAGTGCTCAAGTTACAGGCCCTTTGCTAGGGTGAGGGGGCTCAGGCTTTGGATCTCTCCTTCCTCCCCTTCATCCCTCCCCCCGCCCGGGGTATCGTGGCATAGGCTCAGGCTTCGGTGTCCCTCACGTGGTCGTGTACCTGGAGTAATTTTTGTCGGAGAGGGTTTGTGATGCAGTGAAGTTTGAAAACCGCAGTTCTAGATTTAAAAAATATGTAGACTGAAATTACTTAAGGCATAAGGAAAAATAAAGTGTGGAATTTACAAAAATGCTCAGCATTGACCTAATTCTGTGTGCTCCTCTTGAAGCCAATGGAAGTTTTATCATTTGCTTCAGTGAGAGCTGAATTCACTGCTATGATGGTTTTAAAATCCCACCTTGGAGGACTCTCGCCCCTTTGATTAAAGCTTATGATAAAAACCAAGAATTACATTTGTTTTCTTATCCAGAGGACACTGCTCCAACTTATCTATTGAATTTATAAAAAAAAACCTCTTAAACAGATGAGATTTTTATGAATTAAGTTAAATTCTTAGAGGTATTTCCCCATACACTTCAAGGTGGAAAGTCCAAGTAGCCAGGGTGCATCATGTTTATTTACTGGACCCAGCAAGTGGCTCCTAACCTCAGCTTTCTAAAAAGATTGTGAGAGTGAGTGAGTGAGTGACTATATAGGGAGCTGCTGCTGCCTTGAATATGGACACACCCTGATTTCTGAATCTGGCACTATTTACATGTGCATTTGTAACTTTTTTTCAATACCCCTTTTAGGCAAAATAATATTAAAACATTTGTTTTAATTTTTAAAATGCACCAAATTTTGCAAAAATATACAAGAAAAATAAAATAACAAACCTCTATAGGCTGAATTTTGTGTCTACCAACCATGTCAATTTTCCTATTTTAGTTAGAGGGCTGGTGTGTGTGTAGTCTTCGCTGATGCTGCCATGTAAATTCCAAAACTGCAGAAACGGTGGAAAATCCAAATCTAAGTAACTTATAAATACATCTGTGGTATTTTTCCTTCTCAAATTTGTGTGCCCGAAAATGCACGTGTGCCCAACTAAATTTTGTTTGTTGCTTTAAAATACAAAGCTGTACATTGGAAAGAGAGGCTAAGCTGTGACATACAGCGCTGTATTGCATGCACCCAGTCCTGTACTGGAATCATTGGAATTTCTCATTTTAGAAAGTGTGTTAATATAAGAGAGAATTTGCAGAGAGCTTCTAAACTGATGATGATTCAGATTACGCTTTTTACCAAATGTTCATATTATTCTTAACTGACTGCAAAAAATGGGTGTATTTTCTTCAATTCTTAGTCCAAATTCTGATTGATTCCAAACATACAATATACAGTACTGATTTCAGTAGAATTCCATATGGTATTTAGGAACAGGATAGAATTTTGCCCATAGCATATTTCCTAAAAACAGATAATTTAACTTGAGGTTTTGATATCTTCTCCACTGTGTTCTCTTGATTTCTGTTTGCAGATTACCTCAGGAATGGTGATAAGCACATTTGTGTCTGCTCCTATCATGTATGTTTCTGCTTGGCTGTTGACCATTCCATCCATGGATCCAAAACCACTGGCATCTGCAATCCAAAATATTAGCTTTGATATAAGTATTGTCAGTCTTGTCTCCTTGGTGAGTATTAATACAGTAAGGCACGGGAAATATCAAAACCACATTAAATGGCAGGAAGGCAGTGACAATCAACAAACCAGGTAATGGAAAGACAAAATTGTCACTTCATCACTTTTTCCTGTTGTCAGAGAGGAGGAGGGAGGATAAAAGGTATGCTATAAAGCTAATATTAAAAAAATAAAATAAAAAAGGATGGTCTGGTGATTTGAGCATTTTGGAGAACCAGGTTCGATTTCTTGCTCTGACACAAATTCCCTGTGTGTCTTTGGGTAATACATTTATGTGCTCTGTGCCTCTGTTCCTATCTGTAAAAATGAGGATAACAGCAGTTGCCATCCTCACAGGGAATTTAAGAATAAATATATTGCAAATTATGAGGCACTTGAATACTAGATTTATACACATCTGTAAGTTTGTGTGAGGTGTTTTTTTGGTTTTTTTTTTTTTTTTGGTCCAATAGTAGTACCCACCCCTGTATCCAAAAAAGGTGCTGCCATGGGCTATTGATGTAGCAAAGATAGACGTGAAAGCTCTGAGACCTATCTGAGCTGAATGCCTCCACAGTCTTGGCTAGAGGGAGCATTTAGCTTGGAAGTTCTACATTAAAATCATAGTTCCTGCTAGGGTGGGCCGGACTCAAAGTGTTGGCGTACACCTTGTTAGCAGAGCTGCACAGTGGCTTCTCGACTGCTCTGAGGTGGGGCTGGGTGGCGGGTGGCTGCCCCACCCTAGGAGCAGCTGGCCTGCCACCACAGAGCATTGGACCTAGTTTCAGCTCTTCCCCAGGGCAGGAGCTGCGGTCAGGGCAGTCTGCTTAACAGCTGCTGGAGCCTGGGCTGTGGTACTAAAAATAGCACTGCAGCCGCGGCTCCAGTCCATGCCCCAAGTGCTGTGCTGGGCCACGTGGTGGGCGGCTGCTCTGTGTGCTGAGACTAGAGCTGGGACATGGTGCAGCTGCTCCTGGGTTGAGGCCAGGGTACTTAAAATAGCCCCATGGCCCCAGTTCCATCGGCAGCACATGCGCCAGCTGCTGGCCATGCTGTCCCACCCCAGCAACGGGGGATTGAGGGGTGCGAGTGTCAGGAAGGCATAAGGGAAGAGGTGGCGGATAACTATGGAGAAGGTGGGGTGAGGAGAGTAAGGGGCTTATGCTGAGGGGAGAGGAGGAAGCCAGGGCAGGGGAAGAAAGGGGAAGGCACCAAGGGGTGGGGGGGAGGATAGAGAAATGCCAGGAGGCCAAGAGGAGACAATGAGGAGAAAGGGCAGGAGAAGCAGGGGAGGAAGGGATACAGGGGAGGTGCTAGTGGGGGTGAGAAAAGGGAGGGGTTAGGGTGATGCTGGCAGTGGGGAGGGACAATGGGGACAAGAGGAAGGAAGAGGAGAGGGGAGAAGAGGATTTGAAATGAGGGGCGGGCATGAGGAAGGCAGGAGATTGAGCAAGTCGTGTTAGGGCGCAGAGGAGCATGAGGAGAACTAGAGCAATAGCAATGAAAGGGTGGGCACCAGGGAGGAAGAGGACCTCTCCCCTCAGCAGGTGTTGGGAGGGCACAGGCCCAGGAGCAGGCAGTGATAAGGGAAGGTGCAGGTGCCAAGGGGCTTGTGGTGGTGAAGAAGATGGGCAGACACAGCAGGAGTGTTCAGGGGAGGGATGGGCACCAGTGGGCAGAAGAGAGGCAGGGCAGGTGAGTAGAGGGAGGTGTTGGGAGAGGGATGGGGAGCCGCTACAGATGATAAGTGGGGCTAAAGGAGGGGTGGGCACAGGGGGAAGAGCAGGAGCAGGGGTCAGAGCGGATGGGGAGGAGGGCAGGTCCCAGGAGGGCTATGGGGAGTGAGAGGGGCAGGAGCCAGGACAGTAGAGGAAGGGAAGGGGTGGGGGACAACAGCAGGCACCAGGGGAGCAGATGAGGTGAGGGGAGGGTGGGAGACATGGCAGCACAGAGGACAAGGGAAAAGTTTATAAAATATTTATAAGATATTCATAAATTGGGTGCCATGGTGACACACATCCGAACCAGCGCACGTGACCTCATTACTGGTGCACAAGACAAAACTCATTCTGCTTATGTATGGAAAGAAAATCTTAGAGGGAACACTGATTAAAAAGTTTTGGAAATTCTTTTCCTGGGAGCATCCTTGGGTGGTTGGTTCATAAAATTGAATGTAACATCCAGGGTACATCATTTGATATCATTACAATGCTGTACGTAAGTAAGTTGGTTGGTTTTTAAAAATGTAAGTTAAAATGTCCATGCTGAATGGTTCCCACAGCCTGGTGAGCCACACCATTGAGCACAGTTCCTGAGTTTCACTCCATATTTAGCTTTGGAATTCATTTTCACAGAAACTATCCCAGACTAACATTTGCATTTCATGGTTTTTTGCCTGTTTGTATCACCATTTTATTGCCCCTTCTTGAAAATTGTAATAAAAAGGGGTAAGTTTATGTTGAAATGTATTATATGTGATAATGAATTTAAAGAAACTAGTGTGATTTACTGATTACATTCTTGTATTGTATTACTCCCTACATTTTTATTAATTGAAAAGAAAGAATAAATGCCACATAGTTTTGAAATAGAATTAAAAATAAAATGCATGTAAATTAGTCCTTCATAATAAAAAAAATTTTCTCCTTACTAAGTACCAGTTCTGTATAGAAAGCTTCTTTCTGGAGATAGACTTCACAGTGTAGCTAATGGGTACATATAGAAAACGTTAGGGATGTGAATGAGTAGTCGAGCAGACAATTAACTGATAAGCCTAGGCTTATTGGTTAATCTAATTGACTACTTACGTTCCTCCTCCTCGCCCCACCCCCCTTGCTGCCTATCAGAGGCAGCAAGGTTGGGGGGGAGGAAGCAGGAACCTGTGCTGGGAAGAGCCAGCTTAAAAGCAGTGTGGCAGGGGGATAGGAGAGGCTGCCATGGAGCAGCCTCTTCCCACGGCTGGGCTTGTCTCTCCCTGGGCAGAGGTTAGTTCGCAGCAGCAGCCCCTGTCCATGCGGGTTCCGAGCTCCCTGTGGACAGGGGCTGATTCTGGAGCAGCCTCTGTCTACGGCCAGCCCAGGATGCACCCCACGCTACTGCCTCTGTATCAGAGGCAGCAGAGTGGGGTGGCAGGCAGACGGTCTGCGAGGGAACTGGCTTCTCTCAGATTGGCTCCCGCCTGGCATCCCATACTGATACAGAGGCAGCAGCATGGGCTCCCTGGGAATGTGGCCAGATTGCACTGGTCCTGCCCCTGGGGACTATAGAATAGTTGACTAACTGCTAAGAATTCATGCAATTAGTCAACTATTCTATTAGCTGCTATCTAACATCCCTAGAAGTAGGACTATAATAGTGTAGTTCAGGAGTTCTCAAACTTGTGATACTGCGACCCCCCTCTAAGTTGCTTGCAACCCCCTGGGGGGTCGGGGCCCACAGTTTGAGAAACGCAGGTGTGGTTGATTAACGGATAAGAAAATTTATCAGTTAGTGCATTTTTGACACTGTGTGTTTTTCCCCCTTCCCCTACCAGAAATTTTTTTAGCAGGCTAGCCAGCAGCCCAGCTCAGTCCTAGCTCACACCGGGTCCGGGACCTACCCTGCTGCTACTCTGCATTTAAAGTGTATTAGGAGCCAGGCAGCCTGGCTCACATCGGGTCCAGAAGCTGAGCTCAGCCACCCCACCCTGAACAGGGCTGCTGCCATCCCATGCTGCTGCCACTGTATCAGAGGGAGCAACCCGGGTCAACAGGCAGCCATTCTACGCAAGGAGCTGGTTTTTAAACTGGCTCCCCTTGCGGACCAGCTTCCACCTGGCACCCCGCGCTGCTTCCTCTGATACAGAGGTAACAGCACAGCTCTCGGGCTGCCGGCCTCATCTCTGGGAACTACAGAATAGTTGAGTAACCGATGAGAATTCACAAAGTTCATTGACTATTCAATTAACTGTATTTAATCTCCCTACCTAGAAGAAATGTGAATTTTGTTAACCTAGATCCTTAACTATCTCAACACAAACTTGAAAGAGATAACAAAACAGAATATAGACTGAGGTACTGATTGTGTCATTGAGGATGGAAGGACAGCTGCAACTAGTGCTTGCATCTTGGCATTCAACAAGCCTGTGTGGAATTGTAAGAGAGGAATGGGTGAAATCTGTGCTTTAAACTAAAAAGAGATACAAACAGAATGCACCAGATCCTCCTATCCAGAGCACCCCTAGACTTCTTTTCCACCTCTGATCATTAGGGTCAAGGAGTTTGCTGCACATGACAGAACGGCTTTAACTTGTCCCAGCAACAACAGTCCCCTAGAAATCATACCCTGCCAAGCACAAGAAGAACTGCACTGAAGCTGTGCCTCCTATGGTAAAGCAGAGCAGGTGGCATAGAGCTCACTCATCTAGGTTTATTACCCAAAAAGTAATTTCCATTTGTTTTTAGGTATTTAATTCCAGTATAGTAAACCTGAGTGCTCATCTTAATTTTTAAAATTCCTAAATCGAGCTCTTGTCTCTTTTGTGTGTTTCAGATCTGGTCTCTTACTATTATTCTTTTGAGTAAGAAATATAAACAACTTCCTCATATGCTGACAACAAACTTACTCCTTGCTCAGGTCAGTACTGTGTAGCAGTAGCATAGCCAGAAGAGCCCGGTTATGTGGGCTCTGACCTCAGAAGGGTGGGCATTGCTGGGGTGGGGTTAAACTCCAGTTCCCTGACCTCGCTCCTAGGCTGTAGCACCTGATGGAGCAAGGCAGGATAAACCCTGACTCCTCAGCCCTGCTCCTTGGCTGCAGCACTGGGCGGGCTGTTGTGAGGTGGGCCGGGAGTAAAGTAGGTGAGCCACAGTCCACTCAGGCCCATCTGTGGCTATGCCCCTGCTGTGTAGAATATAAAAATCTGTAGATTCAAGCTTTTATTTTTTCTGAGAGCTTTCCACACAGATGTATCATGGAAAAGGGGAGTGGGGAGATCTAACACACATTACTTTCTAAACAGATTCAGTGTTACTGTTCCTGAGAGATTTTGTATAGTAGATTGTATAGTATTTACTGTACAGAACAAGCCTGTGTAATTGTTGGAATAAAACCATTAATGATTAGGGCATTAAAACCTCTCTGATAGAACTATGTCTCAAACTGAGAAACAGAGGAAATCCAAAGTGAAGGCTCAGATTTAAAATACATTCTTTTCTCAAATATAGTTGTGAAATTCTAAGTGGTGTTAATCATCTATCCAAAGATAGCATATATCTTTTTCCTCCCAACATGCTTCCCAGTCTATATATACATTAAGCACCACTGAGATGAAGCCATCTTCATTTGATTGCTGTCAGCCACTTGAGGACATCTGGTACACAGCAGATGGCCCAACAGTGAGAGGAAGATGTTGTCCAAGGACATTTGGAGTAAAATCCTGTAATTGAGAGAAGATTTTCATAGGATTTTTAATGTCCAGACTTGATAGAAAAGACTTCAGGTTTTTTATTCAGTACCCTTAAAACACTTCAGACTAAAAGGATATGTATAACATTTTATAAGTTTTTGTTTTCTGAACTCTCTTACTTCAGGTTTGTATTACCCTATAGTATGTTTATAGTCAAAAATAGGAATTCCCTGAAAAACAGGTGCTTATGTCAGTGATGCAACTTTCTTTGAGACCACTATTTGCACTGCTTCAGTGATATCAAAACTAATTTTTAAATAGTTGAAAATTTCATAAATTTAAATAAAATTCAGTATGCCTAGCTGCTAATAGTGGATTTTTTATAACTATTGTTGCTGTGCTGCAGTATTTATTTTTCTCCTTCATATTTTCATTTCAATACTATAATGATTGCAGCTTCATTCTCCTTTCACAGGTTGTTGCATGCGTTGGAATGGTGATGTGGAATTTCATTATTAGAGAGAGAAACATCACTTTGCAGATTTTGGTGTTCATCTTGTTGTACAGTTCGATTTATGGTACTTATTTGTGGACAGGTAAGTAGAATAACCTCTGATTTCATGTGATACAAATAAGGTATTGTAGTGCACAGTGTTCTGGAGTAATTGATTATATTCTCCAGAGTCATCTTTCCTCACATGGTATGTTAATCACTTATGTAATGTTCACAGCTCTATACAGTGGCAGGTCATTGCCAAACAGAAACATATATGCCTGTACGTATGAGCTTACAGTCTAAGGTCCTGATCTTGCAGTTGGTAGCATGTGGATACATGCTGTGCATTTGCAGAGCTCCATTTGACTTGAGTGCAGTTCTGCATATATGCAGCAGCCTGCTTGTACTGAAGAAATTGTAGGAATGTGTCCTAAAGGCAAAAGCAAACAGAGTGAACAATGGGGTGTAGACTTTTAACATTTCGTAAGTATAATGTGTGGGCTCTTAAGGAGGGAGACTGTGGCAGACTGCAGTCTAGTAGCAGAACTTTGGGGAAGTTATGCTAGACGTGAGGCAGAATGGAAGCAGACAGACTAGTCCAAAAGAGGTGGAAGGAATGAGCCAAAACACTTGGGTAGCCTAAAGTGAGTGTGATGGGGAGGGGGAGTATATCAGCCCAGCACTAGGCCAATGAGGCTTGCCCAATCACTGTGGTACTAGGAGGCCATGCCCATTGTCCCTACTGCATATGCTTGAGGAAGAAGAGACCGATAACAGGAGGCAGCCCAGCTCAGTGTGGTTTGGCTGAGGAAGAAGGACATGTG